GTACGTGGCGGGGGTGGGGTTGGGGGGGGGGGTGGGGGGGTGGGGGGGGGGGGGGGGGTGGGTGTGGGTGTGCGTCTGAGTTTCAGCGAGAGTGGTTGAAAAAGGGAAGATTAGCGCCGCACAGCTGCAGATCCACACTGAGAGTGCAATTCTTTTTGCATCATCCGATGAAAATCGTTAGTCTTTAATCTCTCGATCGCATGTTGTGTTGTTTGTCCTATTCATTTTAAATGAATAAAAACTGTCATTCACTGTTTTATTTTATCTCTATAATGGTTTTTTTTCCTATGTATGCTTCTCTTACCGATAAGAAATTTTAAAGCTGTCGTTTTTTGGACGGATCAGCAAAGTGATTATGTTTTATCTCAAATGTATGACGAAGTTTTATTTCTGTTTCTTCCGCTCTTTCGAATACGAGCCTTTTTCTGGATATTTGCACGATACCTGATATTTTTCTTCTCTATATTGTCCGTTTTATATTAGTAAGAAACTGAAGGTTATCGTTTATGACAACTATTTTATCTTTACTTTATAATGCAGGTGATGAAACGGTTTTAGCTGAGTAAGAAATAATACAGCAGTACGGAAACAATGGGAAATGCACCAGCAGGAGAACGACAAGTTTCTATGGTTCAACGAGTATACGAATCGATATCTAGGATCGGTTCAGCTTTCGCAGGATCACGTGCGAATTCTGGATTTTCAGAGGAGAGCGACATGCAACTATTGGGAAGCTTTTCTATTGTCTGGCTCGATTCAACTGTTAATCAAAACAGCCAAATACAAAGGACTATAAAATGTTTGGAAAAAAATGTAGTAAGTGTTCATTCAATGAGTAATTATCATGAATGTGAACAATGGTTAATGAAATATGATGGTGATAAAAAGGTGATTCTTATTGTCTCCAGCGAATTCGATAAGAAGATTGTCCTTTCGGTTCACCATTTAACATCGATCATTGCTATTTATAGATATTCATTGGATTACAAAACTGACAGCAAGTGGGCACAAGATTATGATAAAGTACGTAATATAGTATTCGATCTTAATGAACTCTTGAAAATAATATCAGAAGACTTGACGCGTTTTAAACGCGTCGACTACTGTAATAATCAACCTGCTATGAGATCTGAAATGAAGAAAAAGTTGAAAAGTGACGCAGAAATTCATTCAGGTGTGTAGCAATATTTTATATAGATAATGAAGAAATGAAAATTTCTTTTAGCTTTTCAATCTACTTTTCAAATTGTTCTTATCGACATATCGAAACATTTGAATCTATTGGCTATCGCCATGTTGAAAACGTTACTTTTTGTGTCGGATTATTCTATACTTTTATTTGACTATGCTTCACTCATCGATCTTAATACATTGCCAAAGAAGACCACGTTACTCTTTGTCAGTAGCGAATTTGCTTCTACAATGGGAAATAAACCTGAACACATCAAAGCAATTTTTATACTGGGAAATGACAAGAGTAAGGTCAATCAGCGAGACAGATTTGATAATGGTGAAGATCTCATTTGTCAATTGGCTGATGAACTATATCGATGCTATAAAAAAGAGGCGAATGATTTTTTTATATCTGGTGATTTATCGATGGCAAAATCAAAGGAAAACCAAGCTGATCGAATTTATAGAGAATTGAAAAGAATACACGAAAGTTTTTTTGAAGATGATAAGAATATTAAAGGTTCCATTTCTACTACAACAAAGCTTGTGTGGCTTAAATCGAAATTTCAAAATGACACTGAAGTGAAACAAATGGAAAGTCTGTTTTCTACATTTGTTTCTTCATTTCAAACATTTGACAGTGAAGTTGACTGTCAAAATTATTTACTCGAAAGCAAATCTAATGATGCCGTGTTTCTTATTATCAATGCTGATTACCGATACTCACTTACTGATGAGTTTCAACAGCTTTCAAATGTCAAATTTGTCTATCTCTACGAAGAATCATCATTGAAAAATGACACTGTAATTAGCAATTATAATAATCTTCGCTTTCGATTAACATATGATCTTATCGGTTACTATAAAAAATTAGGTAACGATTGTAGTGCCAATCAAGATGCGAAAACAGCTAAAGATATGGCTACAAAAGCACGTGAACTTTGCAATATTCTTGCTGAACTATAAAAAAAACTCAGAAAATGCGTTCTTGTTTATAATCTAAATATAATTTGATCATATTTTAATCAAGTTTTGTTTTAGATGCAAACTATCGATAACATCGTGTTTGACGATTTTGTATATCCACATGCTAGACATTTGGCTCTTTTACTTTATCATATGGAAGGAACACATATAGCTATTCCTTTGCCTAATGCTCATCTGATGTCATTTATTCGAGTTTTTCGAAATACCTCAGACTGTCAAAATCATATTGTCACAAACAATGAACAAGATATCACGTTATATGTTTATGAAGATAATATGGGATGGTTAATTATGAATTCATATCTAAATAATATACCACAGCTTAGAAGAATCAGCATTTTTTGCTCAACGCCTGAAGAACAAAAGTATTGGGCTACACACACGCGACGTTACAGAGAAAGAATTGAAGAACCATTCTTATACAATGGTCTTGATTTCGAATTATTATATTTTGGTATCCGCTATATCCGCCAAGTGCTTGAACAACTTCCTAATAATAATGCTATGCGACAATCATTGCAACAAAATCATAGAAATATGTGCCAAGCTTTGCAACATTATATCTAACAATATGCCAATGATAGAAAATATTTAAATCTTCATAGTTAGACAAAATGTAGAAGCAAAAGTATTTTTCTGTTGCATTCTCTTTTTTACAAGGGATGTCGGGTGAGGGTATGGACGAGGTGTGGGATGTGGGTGTGACTGTTGTGTGTAGCTGGGGGTGTGAATGTCTGGGTGTGGATGTTGTATGTAGCTGGGGGTGTGAATGTCTGAATGTGAGTCTGGCTGCTGGTGAAGCGTGGGTGTGGTTGAAGATATGCCTCACACCCACATCCACAGCCCCGCCACAACACACTCAACTCTCCACTGAAGCTCAACACCCACGTCTCATATCCACACTCCACCCACACCCGCACGCATATCCTCACCGACAGCTACTTCACCCAAACCCCACACCCAAACACCTACACCCTCATGTTTATATGCTGCTCACAGTGACAGAGACGTCCTGTGCTTTTGTGAAACACGATCTGAAAGGAGTGTTGAAGTGTTTAGGGGTAGAAATTTGGACCCCCCTCCCCACAGACCCTGACAGAGAACCCGGGTACCCATCACAGACCGTGACAGAGAACCAGGGTATCCCTCACAGACCGTGACAGAGAACCCGGGTACCCGTCACAGACCGTGACAGAGAAACTGTAGTTGTAAAGCATCAGATATACGGTCAGCTACAAATGTGTCGTAAGGAAATGGAACAAAAGGATTTCCATTTAATTAGTAACAATAGGTTCATCATGTTTCACATTTTTAATCCCGCAAGGGATTCCGCTAACAGCTTCTATTCCCATGACAACAACAGTAAGAGAGGCTCCTTGTATGTGTGGTTCCGTGCCGTTATCAGTGAAAGAGGTTGTGGGTGTGAATGGGTATCAGTACAGTGACGGAGATGGCTCAGATTACAGCACGCACACTCACACCAATACTCTAATCAATTATTGTCATAGGCATTTCACAAAAGAGAGATAATTTTCGTTCACAGTTTGAGTCACTGATATTACTCTGGAAAAAAACTAAGGTTGAATTATTATTTGAGCCACAAATTATCTACTGTAACAATTCTATTTGCTTCTCTCAGACTGCAATGTGATAATTAGAATCATTGTTGGATCTACTTACATTTTTTTAAACAAACAATCAATAATATTGAAAGAAATCTGTATTTCTTAATCACTGATATGAGGATGAGATCTGTTTTCTTTTACAAACATGTTGTGTGAAGAGTACTTTTATTTGATAATTGCTACATCTTTGAATATCTGGAGCCACAATAGCTGTGCAATTCATTGGATCAACTTAACGTTAAGGGTATGGTTGTGAATGATTTGCGTTGCACATGAAAACAAAATCTTAACTTATCAATCCGTAAAAGTTCACAACTTCGTTTCTATTTTCTACTGGAAGCATGTTGATGTCTCCTTCTATTCAGCATCGTTTCCAGTATCAATATCAATCGTTTTCTTAAATTTCAATGTGTTCCGGACAAGAAAATAATGAAAAGATTCATCGAATCATGTCCCTTCTGTTTTGAGATTTATGATTCAAACAAGGGTCCGAAATAGAAGTTTTTCCTCACTCTTTTCATTTATATTGGAAAAAGTAAAAAAATACGCAATGTCAAATTAGCAATCTAGGATTCTGCCCAGAATGCACACCTTGTACGAAGGATTATAGCATGTTGAACCATATAGTTACCAATTAGGATCATACAATAAATCCGAATAACCCATGTCTGCTGACAATGTAAAACATAGAACTAATGCGATGAATTTGCTCATCTTTTTGTATAACAGTCTAATGAAAGACAATTTCACTTTTTACCAGTGGCGAAGAATTCAAAATTAAGAAAGATAATTCTTTCTCAGTGTACACTATACATTTTTTCAATTTGTTTATGAAGATCCGAAATAAAAAAAATCCCATTTTCATAATCGTTTCAATATCTTGAGATCTTAATGCACGATCCATCATTGAATATAAAAAGTATTCTTTTATATACCATTCAATAGCTATGAAGCAGAGCTGGGCAAGTTGAAGGTTTCTCAAGTCACAAGTCAAGTCAAGTCACTAAAAAGAATTTCAAGTTAAGTCAAGTCAAGTCAAGTCAGACTTGACTTGACTTGACTTGAGGCATTTTGGACTTGACTTGCCCAGCTCTGCTATGAAGGCATTCATAAAGAAAGTTCAGTAAAAGATGGGAAGAGATAGAACTATTCAAGTAAACCCGAACTCGACCGGGGTCGAGCTTGAGAATTCTTGAATTCGACGAACTCAAGGAAGAGATAGCGATGTCAGATATCCCGAAAAACAGCTTTAAACTTTTTATATTGTGGCTTCAAATTTTGACTGAATATGTCGCTTTTGTGATTACAAAGTTATTGAAGCATGCTTCATTGGATTTATCGAACAACTAAGAAGATTCTAGTTATCATCCTTTATTAAGCGCATATTGATTTTGTTTATCAAAATCTACTATTAGATGCTCTGTTGCAGCTAGGGTAAATATCTTGTTCAACATCATGAGTTTAATTTATTAAAAATTTTGAAGCAATGTCACTAGTGAATTTGTTGAAGATTGAAAACTTTGTGATGATCAGTGGCATAAATTAAAACACTTTTCTTTTATGTTTCTATGTTATGGAGAGATATTTTTCTGAGATTACCTATCATTTAGTTGTGATTTTAATTGAAATGTAATTTTTTACTCAATTTATACCATTTCCTTGAAAAACAAAATTACCGAACGTTCATTATGAATGCCACCTAATTGTCTATTATATTCAATATCAAATTCATCGATAAGACTCAGTTGATAATCATCATCAGTATATTCAATACGACAGTATTCAACAAGTGTAGTTTTTGCTTTATAATCATATTCCATATCGAGTAGATTTTCTTTAAGTATCTGTGTATACATAAATGATTTGTCAACCCACACCCACACCCTACCACAAAACTAATGGTATGAGTTGTTCACCGATTGTATCCGAAACAATAAGAAAAATCGTCTTATCATTAATCATATCAAGGCATTTTTTTTTGTTTATGCGTGTTTTATTTGTGACGCTCGGGAGCGCTTACAAAAAAGGTTGGATACAGGGAAAAGGAAACGAAAAAAAAAACAAAAACGGAAAGGAAGAAAGAAAAAAGAAAGGGGGGGGGGGGGTGACATATAGAATAATCGCTTTCAATGTTTTAGTGATAACTTGCTGAAATGGGTTAGATAAAGAGCGACTAATGTTATGGATTTCCGTTTCGTCTTAACATGTGAACTTGTGACGGAATAGGGTGGATGGTGGGTGGCACAACTATTTTCTCAAGTAGCACAACTTTCAAAATGAATATTTTGTCANGCGTCAGCAGAGGGGGGGGGGTTCTTGGTGTGGGGTTGACATATAGAATAATCGCTTTCAATGTTTTAGTGATAACTTGCTGAAATGGTTCAGATAAAGAGCGACTAATGTTAGGGATTTCCTTTTCGTCTTAACATGTGAACTTGTGACGGGATGGGGTGGATGGTGGGTTGGAGACGGTAAAACACTGTATACGGCTACGGCGGCACCAAATGGAGGCCAGAGTGAGCACTGCTCTTTCTCCTTGATCCATAATCCTGGTTCCGCCCTATATACAGGTTACCGAAAGGGATAGGAAAAATATTGACGTACTTTGCCTATATTTCTGTTTATTTTGTTTTTATTTGTTTGTAGCTAGGTTTATGTTTCATCTATGAATTGTAACCAGACACCTAACAAAGATTTTTAATTTTTCTTCATGCTTTTCACTCTTTTCTGTTGAAAATAATGACCTAGGGCGTCATTTTTTCTTTTTCTGAAATCGGCCCAAAAGGAAATGTTGTTGAAAAAGAGTGAATTTGAGAGGTCAGATTTGTAGACTTTCTTTAGTCTTTTCTTTATGTACTGTTTGACGTAATGATCTAGTTCTTTTTCCTTTGTGAAGGAATGTAGTTCCTTTGCTGTTACCCATGGACATCTGTGGACTAATCTTAGACCAGCTCTAAATTTTTGTCTAAGGAGTTCTTGTTGTGTTTGAGGTAGGAGGGGAAAGAGACAAAAGAGCCAGGCAAAGAAGGGGAAAGAAAAGGCAAAAAAGCATTGTCTCAAAACTGCGGTGGAGATTACTCTACTTCTTTTCAGCCATTTTAGTTTTGTGTAGGACTGTTGAACTTTGTCTAAGCAATGTCTAACGGAGTTACACATTGATAGTTTATTCGTCCATGAATAGCCAAGATATTTAAAGGATTTAACGCATTCAAGTGGGGTATCATTCATTGACACTGTTATTGTACGTAACTTAATTTGCGAGTGGAATATTTGGTAAACTGTTTTAGACGTGTTAATCGGTTGTTTCCACCTTGTAGCATAATTATAAAGTCTATTGCATACATTGGTGCCTTCTTCTTCCAGAAACTTTATCATTGGTTCTAATTTCTTTTCTATTGGTGCTCTTATCAATACATTTAAGTCGTCCGCAAATACATGAGCTGAGAAAGCTCCTATAGATTGTATAAGGTCCGAGTGAAAAACTATAAATAGGTACGGACTAAGACTACTTCCTTGAGGTAGACCAACGGATATCGAGAATTCCTTGGTGCTCATATCACCATAGCTTACAAAGGCTCGTCGCATAGACACCCAGGACCAAATCATTTTTAATAGTACCATTGGTATATCTAATCGACATAACTTAACTATTAAGGCTGCGTGCCACACCTTGTCATAGGCTTTCTGGTAGTCGGCGTAAATAGATAGGGTGGGTACGTTGGCTACCATATTATTATGTACCTCTTGATAAATAGATAAAACTCTGGTAGGAATAAGACAATTCGGTGTGAAACCTGACTGTTCGATGGGAATAATACTTCTTGGCTCAGCCCAACAACTTATTCTTGTCAATAGAATTTTTTCAAAAATTTTAGAGTGGGTCGCTAGCAGCGATATCGGCCTTGCTTGATCGCATCTTGGGATGCCTGCTTTTAATTTATTCAGGGTGATAATCTTAGCTATTTTCCATTCATTTGGGAAGCGGCATTCTTTTAGCTATAGATTGAAACAATTACAAAGACATTGAACATAACATGGGGGAGAGTAGTTTCAGTATGTAGTTTGAGATGGTATCGTAACCTGCTGATTTCTTGGGTTTGAGTGATCTTATAAAATTTCAGATTTCCTTTATGTTTGTCTTCTCTATTTCTCCAGACGTTTTGGAGAGAGTTGATAGGATTTCTTGAAATTCCTTTTCTATTGGTTTATCATGCTCTTCATTTCTGTCAATGATAGGTGGCTGAAATTGTTCTACATAGTAATTATAAAGTGTTTGAGCTATGCTTTTTTTATCAGTTACCACTAAATTGCTCGTTGTTAGCTTGGAAAATGGGAGTGCCTTTGGTTTATATAATTTACCTAGATGCGACCAAAATACAGTATTGTTTTTTATTTTACTCTCTTGTATTTTCTCTAGAAAAGTTGACCATCGTTGTGAACGGTAACGCGTTATATTTGCTTGTACTTCTCTGTTCAGTGTTCGCAGTACTATTCTTTCTGCTTCATTGTCCATATCATATCTTCTTTGTCTATAGTAGTTGTTTCTTACTTTCCTCACTACTTTTAGTTTTTTAAAAATGAAAGTTGGTAAAGAAGGACGACATTTTTCTCTACTTTTCCATGTTGTCACACGGTTTTTTAAAGCTCCTAGAAATTGTGTGTATTGATTGTACCAATGGTCTAGTGAGATTATCTTTTGTAGGTTAAGCCAGTACTCTTGAAATAAGCATAAAAGAACTTCGTATTCCATCCAATTTACATGAGGAAAGAAGGAATGAGTGTGGTAGCATATCGAAAATGATGTATATATGATGGGCCAGTGATCGCTGCTTCCAAAAGATAATGTTTCGCCTGTAATGTCTTTAAAATTTGTGAAAAGGAGGTCAATGTTCCGTTTGGAACGTTTTGAGGAGCTGAAGGTATTTTTTATGTATTGAAGGTGGTTTTCTTCTATCCATATTTTTAGAGCCATGCCCCAACTGTTATCCTTTGAACTTCCCCAAACTTTTATTGCAGCGTTGAAATCTCCTGCTATGATTGTGTTATTTATAATAAATGTGGATAACTCCTCCAGGTTTCTATGTTGACTCTGTGACCAATATACACCAATTATTCTCAGCGATTCGGTTAAGCCATATAACTTATGTCTATGATGGCAGTGTTAGGAATTGCCGTATCTACTCCAACCGCTTTCAGGTTTTTTCCCACTGCTATGCAGACACCGCAGAACGATTCAGACCAGCTTAGTAAAATGTACTATAGTCTGGAATATTCAAATTAGTGTCTTGTTCTCCGACTTCCGTGAGGATGCATATTGAGGTCTTTTCTGAATGAATCAAATCGATCACTTCTACTCTACGACTCCTCCATCCTTCTACATTATACAAACAAATTTTAAGAGAATTCGTTAAGTTTGTTGTCATGATGTCATCAGTATGTAAATGAAACTTTTCCCAGTGAGATAATACCACCTCTAGAGGCATAGAATGCCAATCAGTTAAATAAACAGACATTTTCATGATCAATTTTTCCGAGAAACCACAACTTTTTAGTCGCTCTTTATCTTTTTCTATTTTTTCTACAACTGCTTGGGGGTAAAATGAAATTGCTTTAACGTTTAGGGTAGGGGTATGCATCAATTTTGATTTTTCTCTAGAGGGCTATCAGAATCTTCCATTAAAGTTGGAGTATCATTTGCTGGTGATTGTTGATTATCATTTATTGTTGATGTTGATAAATTTGTGGTGATTGATCTATCTGTGTTGCTGTCGATGTTAAAGTTAGCACGTAAATGTTCAGCTTGAGTATGAAACGTTTTTTCTATATAGCGTAAGGCGGTTATGATTTCTTCTTTTGCTTGTTGGTGTTGATCTGAGATAATGTTGACCATTGGAAGAAGTACATTGTTTAATACACTTGTTATTGTTGAATTGATTGTATTTAAACTGGCTTGATGAAGTTGAATGTTACTTGAACTCGCATCAAATCTGTCTTGTAATTTATTGAGGATGGTATCTTTCATTGCCCACATTTCATGTTTTAGTTCTTGTTTTATTTTTTCCATCATTGATGTGATGCTATAGGTAAGATCGGTGCTGGTGTTAGATGTTGTCTGTAAGCTATTACATGGCCATATTTTGTTGTTATTCTGTAAAGGTTGAAAGTTGTTGTTGTTGTTGCTTGTTAATGTTGGATATTCACTTGCACTATGTGCTACGGGTACAGTTATTGGTTTAGATTGATGAAGACGATGAAGTTGAATTGTTCCACGATTAATTGTACCGTCACTAACCGCTTGCTTGACTTCCCGATTGAGTACTTATTTGTAATTTTGAATATGATGGCATTTCGGGTCAAGTGAATGGTGGTCGAGTCCACATTGCGCACATATTGGTTTACCAGAACAGTTTATCACGTGGTCATGGTCAAAAGTTTGAAGGCAGATTTTACATTTACGTTTGTTTGATGAACACGATACATACGTGTGGCCGAGCCGCCAGCAGTACGTACAAAAGGTTAATTTATTTGTGAGTAAATATTTGGTGATCGAGTGTAGACGATTGACAATGGATAATCTACCAAGTTTAAGTGCGCCTTCATATTCCATTAGATTTGCGACTGTAAATCTATAGTCATTTGTAGGACGATCAAAGAAATATAAGATTTGTTTAAAATTTTCTGCTGAACTTATTGAACGTTTAATTTCTTCTGATATGGTTTGAATGGAGATTGATTTTGGGACGTAACGTACAACTAGCGAAAAACATTCCGGAACAAATTTTGGTTTAATAAGCGTAATTTTCTTGTTGTTGATCGAAGTTGGCCATAGTTCAGTTAGAACGAGTTTGAAATAGTCTTCCATGTTGTTAACACCTAGTTTCAAACGGTGATTATATAAAAAAGCAACAGAAAAATCATTTATATATATATTGTTTTTCTTGAAATGATTTTGAATTAGGTCGCAAGCAATAATCGCAGATGGAAGATCACGTGCAGCAGTGACCTTTTCAAATTCTATTATAAAGCAAGGAAGATTACATCCTACCGCTCTCTTGAGTTGGTCTAATGGTAATGAGTAAGGTTTGATGCTGTTGGTATGTGCTGTTATTGTATTTGTTTGACCTGTTGTAGTTTTATTTATTAAACTTTTTCCTTGATATGGTATATTCGAACTCGGTTGATATTTCGTTGGTTGTTGTTGATGAATTACTTCCTCATGTCGAATCTTTTTTCTTTTTTCGTTAGATTTGTTCAGCTGATCTCGTATATGTTTCGGTGTTGAGATTGATTTTTTCTGTAGATGGCAACAGCTATCAGGAGTTGTTAATGAACTATCATATCCGGAATTTGTATTGTTATCTGATTTGTTAAATCTTCTGTGATCCAATTGATGATGATTCATCGTTGATGAAGTTGGTACTTCGTTGTAAGGATGTTTGTAAACTTTCTTGTGACCGAGATAGTTTTCTTGTTCAATCGGCGCATATAATATTCCATTATGTTCGAGAAGTTCAACTTGTTGTGCATTGTTCCAAGGTCTTGGTGTATCACTATATGTTGACGTAGATTGATTGTGTATAACTGTTGTATTTCGATTGATATCTTTATCTATTCTTTTAAATCCGTCTTTAATTCCATTCCGATTTTTATTAAAACTGTTTTGTCTTTTTTTATTTGAAGAGTTCATGTTGGAACTCCGTTATCAAGAAAAAGTCCAAGGCAAAAAACCTAGAACTTATTCTTCTGTTTTAGAAACAGAAGCAAAATGAGTTTGAAGAAGAAAAGAGTACAAGAAGGACGTCTAATCCTCAGGCATGTAAAAAGAGAAGTGATCAAGGCATTTAATACATTCATCAGAGTTTGTAAATTTATGAATCAAATTGGTAATACGTTGAAGTTTTGTAATTGAATCTTGATAGAGTTTTTCAGTTTTATGTATTTGAGAGTCCACCCAAATAATAACCAAATTTTGGCTGAAATCATATTGCGTAAGGATGGATGGATGGATTGGGAGATGTTTTGCCTCCAGTGGATAGTTTTACCACTGTCGAGTTGGTTGTGAATGTTGCACTTGTTGCTCTTTTGGTTGGCGTCTTTTGCAATGAAGAATTGAGTATGTGCTTCTTTTGACTATTCGTTTCATCCTCAAACGTCGTAGAATTAGGAACAGTTTTTGTGGCTTTCGATGATCTACAACCCCTTAGGGAATAATATAACCTTCTTTTTTTCAGAATTTATTCGAATATATGTTTCAAAGGCGCGAAAAATTGCCTGTGCGTGTGAGTAGTTTTGATTTATGCTCTTGAGATTTCGCGGAGTTGCAATTTTTGTTTTCTCTTACAAAAAATAATGGTATTTGCCATGCACAAGGTTTATCTTTCTTCTGACTTTATAGTATGTAATTTAGTGTATAGAAAGAAAAATTGTCGTTAATAAGAGAGAGACATATGGACAAGTTATAAATTCGAAATTTCTTATGAGATCATCAGCGATTTGAAACAAAGGAAGCTAATGAGTGCCTATAACGAAATACTGAGATTAAAAGTTTTTAGATTGAATTTTTTTCTTATTTTTATTACATTTGTAAAATAATTCCGAAGGTCTTAAAACGACCATATTATTTATCCGAATTGCAATAAAACAACGCATTTTTTCAATATAATAAAAGTCGAGTGCAGCTTTTGGGATGTGATGGTGACAATGTGATTTATATTTATTGTTCTAAAAAAGATGCACCATTCATATTAGGTAGAATGAAACTCCGTTATAGCAATACGATCACAACTTGATATGAGCAGCATGGTCCTAGTCCCGAGACCAAGACCGGATCATCTTTTTCTTATTTAACTGGAATCGAAGTCAGGACCGAAGCAGAACCAATCTTTGTTGGCCGAAACTGAGACCGAAATAAAAAAACGATGGGTCCCGCTCATTTCTAAACAAAACTCAACGTATGCTATTATTTGAAAAAAAATTAAGATGCAGGTGTGAGTGTAGACGTTGATGTTTGGTTAGATTCATGATAGTCACGAGGAATCAGGTATTCCTCTATCTGTACTCACGCCAAACCCATACCCAACCTTGCTTGTTTGAATAAAATGGATAAAACAATAAAATCTTCTGTGTTAACCAATCCATATAGGCAAAGTCATTCTTCCTGATAGACTGCTGGGTATAGATGAGTCCCTAATCAGTTGCAATTACTAGACTTGATAAACTTTAAAATATCTTATTTTGATTGATGTTAATGCATGTGAAAGTATTTAAAGAAGACTCAAAACTTGCTTAAAGTTAAGTTCGAAAATTGTTCATGTTAAACCTTCTGATTATTTGTCATGTAGTTTCCCCATTTCTATATGTATATTCCATCAAAATATTCAATACATTTGGTTAACGGTGATTCATCCTCTCTCTTCCCTTGATATCTTCTTTCTTCTTTCTCTCTCATTAATGTCTTTTATGGTATTTGTTATTGTGATTGTGTTTCTCTCTCTTCTTTTCTTTATCTTCTTCTCTTCGTTATCGTCATATATATGTATCTAGTGATTTAAGGACATAAAGCGAAGATTTAACATATGAAATAAATAAAGTATGTTACGCTCGTCGATACGAGCTAACACATTTTCAATACAGAATTTTTCAATGTACTTTTTAATGAAAAACAACTGAGAGAAACGTTTGAGAATGTCGAAATCAATAGAAAATAAAAGTATTTTCATTTCAACTAAACCAGCCGATGTTGGTGTAATGCAAGAGACATTATTCACGTTAGTATATTTTTGTTTTATGAAAAGACACACAATTATTCATAAGTTTTTTATTCTTTTTTTATATTAAAAAATAGATCACTTATATAATATTTAGTTTTGATTTCATTGGTTGAAATATATGAATTCGAAATAATCCATTTGAAATCGACTAATCAAAATCTTGACTGGGTCTGTACATCATCTACTTCTCATATTCCATATTCTCTCTCTCTTATTCTGTCATTTCTTGGTTTCAGCTATGTTCAAGAATTCGTGCTGCCATTAATTAGCGACGCGACGAAATGCCAAAAAAGCAATAAAGTGTTTTCTGCCTATGCTACTATCGTGCTGTATTCCTTCTCTGTAAGAATACCTTCAGGTACATTTTATCATAGCTATGATTATGAATTCCGCTTCTAAAAATTGTTTTTTTTTTCGATTCAATAAAAGGACAGGGTCGCTTTGTAGCCATCTTCATTTGTGCTACATTGATGATTTATCTAGTGTAGAATTTCACAAGAAATAATTTGATAACAAAATAAAGCAATTTCTGAAGGATGCTAATCCTTGTTTGAAAAATCTTTGTGGGTGCGAGCGACTTCAGCTTATTTGCATCGATTCACACCTACACTTGCATAAAATTCCAATTTATATAATTCTAGATGATGTTTTCTGTTAGCATAATACTTTTTGAAAATGTCTACTTATTTTGTGTTGAAAAGTGAAGTTTGTACATATCCAGTTGATTTCAAAGATTTGAAAATTACTAGTTATTTATTTTTCTTCATATAAAGTGGCGAATAACAAATTGATTTGTCGAGATTTTCTCAACTAACCGCTATGTTGATTCTACATTAAAAAAACACTGAAATCATATCAATAGGGCTTTGATGAATCATTTTTCATTCAAAATCAATAAGTGTTTCGGACGCTTGTATATATCATAGTTTATCCACAATTGTCAAATGAAGATCAATTGTAGCTTTTTTTTTTATTGATGCAAAGAAAAAAAATCAAATGAACTGATAAATTAAAGAAGAATGCTTACTATTACTCCTTATACTGATTGTCTCTTTTATGAAAAAGAAAATGGATCTATCTGATTATCATAGAAAAATTGAATATGTTCTTTATTCTTTAATAATCGATGCGGTTTGACTTGCACCGGACTAACACGATCGGTCACTAATATTTTATGTAAGAACATAGAAAATGTTCCACTGCGAACACGAATACAACGAAGCGAACCAAGTTTTCCAGCATTACGATGATCCCTATAGATATGGTTTGATTGACAAAGCTGCTGTTCAACTTCAGATATGGCGTCGTCATTTTGCAGTATTGGATGTTGTTGACTGATTACGTTATTTTCATGCTGAGAGTTTTCATCAAACAATTCTAAGAACATAACATATCGAGCTGGAAATGTATCTAATTGTGGATATAGTGTAAAATCACAAATATCAACATCGATATCTTGTTGTTTTCATTTTTCAACAGTTCGTAGAAGAGCATCCAATACATGTTGTTCAGTTGTATTTTCTCCGGCTACATTGAGAAGCTTTCCAACACGATAAGCAACTGATATGAGTGGTATTCAAGGTACTTTTGTTTGTTTAAATGGTAATGGGATGGTATTGTCTGCTTGAGAGAGAAGCCTTGTACATGTGACTACATCTCCCAATCGATATCGTATCAATCCCGATTCAGTAGTACAAACTAATTCATATCAGTGTCCTGGCTCGATCTCTGAAATGAGCAGAGTCTTTGGCTGAGTCTGAAGAAAGCAACAAAAAAAATTATTATAAGAAATAAAATTTCTGTGACAATAAACTCGTGCAGCAATATAAAATTGATCAAATCTCAAACAAAATCTAGAGCTTCATGTCAAAATTTTCTTTCGCAAGAAACACGAGAATATATCTTATTATAGACTGGTAGACTATTTCAGACTTTAAATTCTGATTTCTGTCTGTTATATCAGTATCTATTTGCTCATTTTGTTGGACAAGCTAAGCGGATCATATCGATTTTCTGACTATAGATTGCAACATGCATTATAGAATCAAATTGATTATGTAGGAAAAAAAAGACAAACAACATATCTGATGTATGTCTTCTTCTTTGATAAATTCGTAAAATGCCGATATTGGTGATAGAAAATATTCATTAGTATAAATACTCGCCAGACTTCCAAAAAATGCTTCACTTGCGCCATAGACAGGAAAATTTATTAGAGGTAATTGTTTTCCACAGTAAAATTCAATATCTTTTTTATCCATGGCAAACGAACTTCCTGTTGAAGTAGATGCAAAAATTATTTGCGGCCAAAGACGTTGAAGTAAACCAGGCGTATTTTTTTTTGAGACATTCTCTTCGAATATGATTAACTCGTTCTGATCGATAAGACAGTCCGCCAAATTCTAAAGTCATATTCTGTAAAGTTTGATTTAAACTAGTCCGAAATTTGCCATCATGAATATTCTCACGAACCAATGAACTATGACTGAAATCAGTGGAAGAAATGCACAGACACATTTCTTCAAAATGATTTTCAATTACTTTTACTGTATGAAGAAAACTCGATGCAAATGTAACGGAATAAGATGAAACATCTTGAACTGTTAATGCAAAAACGAGTTGAACGAATGTATTTGTTTCAAAGTCCGAAATGCCTTCAATGTGCTGATGACCAATAGTACCAATAGATGACGCCATTAATTTGATTCCAGGAAAAAGTGAAACAGCTGACATGAATTGAGATAGCGGACCAATTGGTGTCCCATCTTTTGATCTTAGAAATACGTTGGATCTTTTTCCTGATTGAAGAGTAAAAAGTCTTTGATGAGCAAGAGGATATGACGAGGCAGGAAATGATCGCCAAATGGCAGCTTGTCCAAGATGTACTAGCATCATTGTTTGTTTAAACATGGCTGAAGTGACAGGGAGAAGTTTCGTCTTTCCAGTAGTTCCGGAACTAGAAGCAAAATAAACGATTTTATCCGAAGAGAGTAAATTCTTTTCTCCATTATTGACCATTCGATCGATATAATCACGATAATTATCATACGTTGTCAAAGGAAGTTTTTGTCGAAATTCATCAATTAATAAATATTTTTCTTCGTTTGATATCGACGCAGAGTCATCATATGAAGACAAAAACGAAATCGATTGGTCAGTCAAATAAGTACATGAACCATTTTTTTTAAGAATCTTTCTCAAGAGATCATTATTAACCTTTTGCAGATTACAAAGTGAATTTTGATAGTAAGACACAAATAAGTCTTTATCCCCTGGTCGAAAATATCGATGTATTAGTCTTTTACGAATTTGTATTCGAATAAATCTCTTCAACATACATCGAATATATGATGCGTAAGAAATGAATACAATACTAATAATGGTAACAAGACTTCTAAAAATCAAGCAAGAAAATAGACTGGAACGATCTTACTGCAGTAAAATGTGGTGGATGTTGGATAGTATTTACTCCATGCTTTGACCAAGAGATCTTATCATAGGCGCGTGCGAGCTGTGATACATTGCGTCAAACATGATATTTTGTTCTTTTTTATAACATTAGTTTCTCTTAAGTTGAATTTGCAAGATGTTGCCAAATAATCGAATTTTGACTTCAATCATTTTGACGAGTATTCCAATTCATTAGTTTTCGTTGATAAGATACCTCTGATATTCTTCTTATACGTCATGCTGAGACATGAGGGTGTGGGTGTTTAGATATCAGTGATCGTATTTCTTCTATCCACACCCTCTCACTTAAAGATTTATAATTTATATAATTTTAATGTTTTGCTTTTTTTCTATTTTAATCAGAGCTGGGCAAGTTCGAGGCTTCACAAGTCAAGTCAAGCCAAGTCAGACTTGACTTCCCCAGTTTTAATTTGAACATGGATGTGCTGGTTTGAGATTAAAATTTTTCTTGTGCGTTTTTGCTATGTCAACAGGAAAGCTGTTTTTTCATTTATTTTCGAAGTAGTAAGAGACAGTTAGCTCTCAATTTATATTCAAACTCGAATTAGGCAACTCATGCATGTAATATTTTTTTCCCATTGTCATTATGTAAATGTTAAGGTAATCTGTAAATCGTTAAAGAGATCTCTTGAACGAGTGTGAAGAAGCATGATTGAAATGATTGTTTTTAATCTTGTTGTTCAATGTCGGTCGTATCTTTTTGCATCGTTTGATTTAGTTCAAATGATGATTTTTTTGGCAATCCGTTCTTTTTTCTTTATTATTTTCTACAGTGTAGAGACACTTAGGAGCATGTCTAATCTGAGTATGAGGATGTAACAATATTGATATCATCTCTTATTGATCTTCTTTTCCTCTATTCTCTTCATCCTTTCTCTATTATTCTTTCCTATACTCATCTCTATCTCTGTTGATCTCTCTCCTATATAAGCGTAGGTAGTGTTTGAAATAGACATCTGCTGGAGACCTGAATTAGATCGACAAACATGATTAAAGAGGCTACTGGTACGCTACTGCTCCAATTTGTCATTAAAACTTGTGACTTTGTCATTAGTAAAATTGAGTCAAGATGTCACTCACAGAATAGTAGTATAATTATTAGTGAAATAACGAAGATTCTATTTCTTTCTATTTTTTGTTTGCATCGATGTCGACAGCAACGTCTACCACTATAATTTCCACACTGACAGTAGCTACGTTTGAAATGAATCGTTATTTTTCAGTATTGATTCTTTTATTCGGTACAATTGGAAATGTTCTGAACGTGATCATATTTCATCAACCTAAACATCGAACAAACCCATGTGCTGTCTATTTTTTTTATGCATCAATTGCTGGTCTAATTGCTCTTTATTCGGGCTTAGCTAGTAGAGTTTTTGCCATTTTCTCACTTGATGTATCAGCAACCAATGCTACAATTTGTAAATTGCGCGCATTCATCGTTTGGGTATCAACAACGACTTCATCATGGCTTTTGACTTATGCTACTATCGATCGGTATTGTATAAGTTGTCGTGATGTGCGTCGTCGGAATCTAAGCAATCTTCGTTTCACACGCAAGTTAATGATATTTGCAGTTGTCAGTGGATCGTTGATATTTGCCGAAACTTTCTATTGTTACGTACCAAATCTTCAAAATTCTCCGTTGACATGTTACGGTCAAAATATGACATGTCGTTTGTACAATGAAATTGCTTCAGCACTCGCATTCGTTTTTATACCATCAATCATTATGCTGATATTTGGATATGCAACTGTACAAAATGTGAGAAAATTACTTTTCTCAATTGCACCGACAACTTGTACACATGGAACAACAATAACAATGAAGAAGACAGATCGACAGTTGATTCAAATGTTAATTGTTCAAATTATTCTATTGACTATATTCAACATTCCATTGGCTGTTCAACGTCTCTATTTAACATCAACATTAAATGTTCCGAAAAGTTTGTTGAGGTCTACAGTCGAAAATCTTTGTTTTCAACTATTTTACCTTCTGAGTTTTATGAGTTTTGGAATGCCATTTTATATCTACACATTAACCGGAACCGTATTCAGAAATGAATTTATGAAATTAGTTCAATTCGTTTATCGAAAAGTAAAAATAGCAGCATTTTAAAGATCGAAGAGTGAGTATATTCATAACTGTTTTGTGAAATACTCTTGCTAATAAATGTTGAAGTATATATATAGTGAGAAAAATGATGCTCCTTCTCTTTTGCCTGTCCCTCAAACGAGATTTCCATGTCAGCAAAAATTCTCTATTATAGTAAAATGTTAGAATGAATGTAGCATGGGTCTTGGTAAGCGGTTCAATCAACTCTAATGTGTTTCACATTTTTATCTTGTGTGAATTGCGCTCAAAGTTTTTTCATCCTACTAATCACTGTAGAGATGTTGCAAACAAATGATACTTTTGTTGTGATGTAAAAATCGATGTTATTCCTAAATTTTGTAAACTTCTATGAATAAAAAAATGACGTCTACTAAATAAAAAATTCAGTCTTCTGTTATTGTACTCATCGTTTTACATTTCTACAACCTGAATTGCTATTGCAAGAATGTAGGACTGACATCTTCACCGATCAAACAATCTTATAAACATCGTTCAACATTTTGCAAGACATTAATGAAAAATCGGATGCTGTACGATTCCTTCTGCAGAAGCATGTTATGATAAGGATGATCTTTGGGATGCAGGTGTGTTTAGCATATCATGACCAAGACTTCTGATCAGTTATGCGCGTTTAAGTTGAGGTTTTTCCTTTATGTCGGAACTTCGGCGTCGTCTATCAAACAGAAGATGTTGACTGAATAATGTAGATCATTTTCACGTTATTTGTCGCTATGCTTTGTAATTTGATTGATTCTTCTTATTTTTCAGTGATAAATCGGATGACATGATGGGATTCCGAAGGAATGTTGTTATCTATAATAAAGAAAACAAATGAAAACTATTGACTAGATCTGTAGAGGTGATTTGGCATAACGTTTACATGATTTAAATGTAAGTGTGTGGGTTACATGTGTTTGAGACAATGGGAAGATTTCTATAGTGTTTTCAAGAGCTCTTTTACTGGTGTGATGATTGATTTAACGAATTTCATTTGGAATATTTTTCTTTAGTTTGGCAGGATTTTGGCTAATAGGGACTTCGACGTACCAGATGTCCAACCAGGCCGACTTTTTGTGGACCTACGACCTTCCTAGCCTGCCTGCGCCTGTCACATTATTTCTTTGGCCTGGCTTTCCTGTCTATTTTTTCAGTGGTATATCATTATAATAATAATAAACAATTAATTATTAATCTTCAGAGAAAGTCCAACTAGTCAATCCAATCAATTTAGATGACACCAGTCAAACTTTTCTGATGAAAACTGTCAAGAAAATATTTTGAAGTATTCACAATACATAAGTATTTCCTTCTAATCTATACGTCAAAACATATAATAGTAGGAATGGAGAAAAAAAAGGACGGAGACGCATAAGATCATGAATCGGCCCACGAGACTTTTGTTTTCCAACCCAGTATAATCAGGTAGAGAATGAAAGTGCTTATTGAGGACAATATTTTGATACCAAATTCAATGTGTTGCTCGGAGTAAAGGAGGCCTTAAGTGATATATCAAAATATCATAAATTTAGCCTTAACACGTTGAATACACGTACGTTCCTTAAAACATTTTAGCTTTCAATATTTGACGGAAAATTTTTCTTGTCTCACCCATTCGGTAGAGCTTTTCAAGAGCTACAAAACGGCATATTTCTCAAACGAGAAAAAGTTTAGCACAGGATGAATGCCATGACAAACTCTTCTCGGTTCATGACTTTTTGTTTATTTTCTGTTTTTCGTGATATGTCTGAGAAAATGTTTTGGTCAAAATTGGAATGAATATTTTTTATCGTCTTACTGATTTGATAGAACTTTCAAGAGCTACGAAATAGACTATTTTCGAAAGTCAAAAAATTGGGGCAACAGGATAAATTTCCAGACAAACTTCTACCGGCTGATGAGTTTTTTTTTTAGTTTTTGATTTTTCACAATACGTGTGACAAACTTTTGTGTTCGCAATTGGAATAAACACTTTTTCTCATCTTACGTATTCAACAGACGTTTCCAAAAGTTTCAAAAGGGATCTGTTTCTCAAACCCAAAAATATTCGACAACTGGAAAATGATCTTAACAGAATGTTCTTGAAGTGAACTTTGGTATGTTTTCAATCGATATTTAAAAGGTTTCGACTAAAAATAGTTTTGTTCTTGTGAACGCTAACGGATTGCACATACAGAATCACCGACTTATGAGTTCTTGAATATCTCTCTGTGTTGCTGATAGTGCGGCTTGAGTTTTTTTCGAAACATAGGCTGGTAAACTCTGCATAAAACTCTAAAAAAAGAGTTTCTAAAAGTATAATTGAAAA